TAATGTGAAAGCCCGTTGAGTGTGCTGTAAAAGCATACAAAGGCGCTATACAAGTATAAGACCATTTACCATTACTCCGCGTGGTGCATGAGTACGTAGTAACAAAGAACACTTTTTTTTTTTTAAATAAAAAGTTACATAAAGGCAACAAAGCATTAGAACCGATACACACAAGGATTATAAAAGTAGTGTCATCAGAAATGAACTTCATGTCCTCTTTTAGCACATCCATATATCTCCTCATTGGTCTTCCTCTTAACCTCTTGCCTGGCAGCTCCATCTCCAACATCCTTCTACCAATATAACCACTGTCCCTCCTTTGCACATGTCCAAACCATCTCAATCTGGCCTCTCTGACCTTGTCCCCAAAATAGCCGACCTGAGCTGTCCCTCTGATGTGCTCATTCCTAATCCTGTCCATCCTGGGCACTCCTAAAGAGAGCCTCAAGATCCTCATCTCTGCTACCTCCACCTCTGCCTCTTGTCTTTTCCTCACTGCTACAGTCTCTAACCCATACAGCATAGCTGGTCTCACTACTGTCTTGTACACCTTTCCTTTGATTCTTGCTGCCACTCTTCTGTCACACAACACTCCTGACACCTTTCTCCACCCACTCCAACCTGCCTGCACTTGCCTCTTTCCTACACTCCCCATCACACTGACCCCAAATACTTAAACTCCTACACTTTCTTCACCTCAGCCCCCTGTAACCTCACTGTTCCACTTCCCTCCCTTTTGTTCATACACATGTATTCTGTCTTACCAAGACTGACTTTCATTCCTCTTCTTTCCAGAGCAGACCTCCACCTGCTCTCTGCTCTCACTACAGATCACAATGTCACCTGCAAACATCATTGCCCATGGAGATTCCTGTCTGACCTCATCTGTCAACCTGTCTATCACTATAGCAAACAAAAGGGACTCAAAGCCAATCCTTGATGTAGCCCCACCTCCACCTTGAACTTCTCTGTCTGACCTAGAGCACACCTCACTACTGTCGTACTCCTCTCATACATATCCTGAACTACTCTGACGTACTTCTCTGCCACTCCTGACATCCTCATACAGTACCATAGCTCCTCTCTTGGCACTCTGTCGTACGCTTTCTCTAAATCCACAAATCCTTCCAACCATCTCTATACTTCTCCATTAACATAGAGATGGTCGGAAGGGTGGCAGAGAGGGGGGGAGCATGGTTTAATGTCCTAGAGATGGGGATTTGGGCCTGCCGGTATTGTGCCCGCCGCTGAGACACCATGTTTTGCGTGCGCCTGCATGTAGCAGTATAGCCGGCCTGGGGATTGGTGAAGAACCGTCACCACAGACCACAGATTCAGGACTCTCGGTGAAACACGGAGGGCCGCTCTTTCCGTAACCCCATTGCAGCTCCGCCAGCCTGGCTAGCTCATCTATTCATCTCAGAGGGGAGCAGACCGATGGTGAACATGGCCCATACTCCATTTCCTCCCCCAGCGCCTCACTCCAGCCCCGCAGTCCCACCTCTCCCGTCGCACCACCTCGCATCCCCGTGGAAAATCCCTGGCAGCTCACCACAAGGAGCTCGGAAGGATTGCTGGCATTGATGGCCGACTGTTGGCAAACAGGGTCCTCCCCAGGCAGACTCAAAACCTTGTAAAAAGTATAAAAACATAATGCATAAAACTTGTATTCCTGGTAGCCCAACTCCCCAAAAGTTTACGAGAAAGCGACATAGCACAAAAAGCAACACAGAAAACCTAGAAAACTCGAAACCCCCCCCCAACACACACACACACACACAAATAGAGCAAGAGCTGCTCGGGACAGCAGTCGCTCCGCGCGGAGGCAGAAGCACATGGATGGATGTAGAGCTAGCAATTACACTCCACATAACAGTCTTTTGATTAAATGTGATATTCTAACATTTAACAATACAGGACAAAATTTATTTATGTAATGTGGGTCTAAACAAATCATTGAATGGAATTCCTGTGGGAGCTCAGTCTCTCTGATCCCAGCGCTGTAAGGCCTACCTGTGGTCAGACTTCCGGTAAACTTCCTGTTGATTTTAAACAGTCCTCTCCTGTCTTCACTTCTCACGCTTTCAGTAAAAGAATTTGGGTAAAATCTAACAAAAGTCATGAAGTCATTTTGAGAAGTGAAGGCCTATTTCAATGGCAAAATAAAAAACAAACAAACCAAGAATCAACAGAAAGTTCATTTGTAGTTCTAAACGTATTTAGTGTGTTTTTTTACTCGCTTTTTGTCTCTCCCATGAGGTTATTCCTCTCTCCTACAGCGTCCATTACAGTTACATGCAAATTGACTATTATGCAAAGTAGGCGATGACGTCATGTAGCGACTTTTAGGACAGCCAATAACTAGTTTCCTTACTGAGGAGTTGGCAACACTGGCTAAAACAATAGTTTCTGATTCAGCTTAACTTTATATTATGCAGCTCTTAACACATGCGGTCTGACCTGTATATAAGTCTGTAAATACACAGTCCTCTGTTACATAAAGTTCATGCCTTCCAAGTGCACCATAATGCTGAGGATTGCGACTGACAGGGACGCTGGAAGAGGAAGCTTCTTTCGCTCATATTCGCCAGAGGATATGGAACAGGCAGAAACTCATTTTGTGAGCCACAGTGTGACGGCAAGACACGGACACGGGGATCGTGTCCGCACCCGATCTAAACAGTGTTCTGTTGTCATACTGTCAGTCCTGGGGTCCGCCGTAGTTGTGGCCGCTGTGGGATTTTTCTGCGCCCTCATCTACCCGATTCTAAAAGGTAAACGAGCGCGCAGGCTCATGTGCATAACATTGGAGTGTGCCTCGCGAACACAATGCTGCTAAAGTCTACTGTAAAGTTACTTTTTAGATGTTTTTTTTTTTTACTTGGGTATTTTCTAAACAGCCCATAGCTTATAGGCCTACATGTTAACTGAGCACGTCCTGGCAATTTAGGGGAGTCTTCAACTCAATACTGTAGGAAATATATCATAACCGTTTTCTCTTAGGCCGTTGTTCTGTCGAATCTTCATACCCGTCAGAATTCCATACCCAAACTGTCTGCGCATGCGCATTAGGTTCTGCGCATGCGCAGTTATGGACTGACTAACCCCACCCCGATCCATCCCCCTAACCCTAACCACTTTGTGAATGGTGGGTAGCACGTCTTGATAGGTAGCAAAATCTGACAAAACACCGTCACTTGAGATAACAAAATCTACCATGTCATTGGGCACTAGTTGGCTCCTTGTCAGTATCATTAATCAATGAATCGTTTCTCTCTCTCTCTCTAAAATGTCAGGAAATGGTGCAACACTCCATAACCTAAAAATAATCAGTTTACTAATAAATGAAGAGGTCATTGAGACAAAAATGAGTTGGTGCCATTTACTAGCCTATGGCACTGAAACTAGCCTATAAAACAGAAAGCAGCCAATCAGATTCCAAGGGTTCAGGAATTTCATCTAAACTACCAGAGAAGACAACGTTAATGTTACCCTTAGAAAGAGTAGTTTGACAAAGTTATCTTAACTCAAGGTCCACTTAATGTAGCAGTTTAGACTGACAGATCCAGAAAAGTGGGCCTTGAGTAAGGATTATTTCGTCAAACTATAGCCTATTGTACGTAACAGTTGGGGAAATAATGAAATGACAAAAACAGTGTTTATTCTACTAAGCCTACACTAATAGTCTGACAAATGCAGATCAGTATTTGCTTTTGCTAAAGATCAGTGCTGCTATTCTTTGTCTGTAGTGATACTGACTGTGAATGTTTCAGAGTTACGGGCAGAGAAAGTGAGACGAGAAGATGGGACTGAACAGAGGATGTTGGGTGAGTATCAATGTGTTCATTTTGTCCTAGATTCACTGCTCCATTAGCCATGGGCAAAGCCAAGGGGGTGGCCACCCCTGCCAGAGTCAAAATGTGATGCTTGTCAGTAATAATGAATGGAAATTGTTGACTAAAATACAACCAACATTTTTATGGTGCTTGATATTGGTTACATTAGTTTAATATCAGCCAGGGACCACTGGCCTGGTCACCCTGTCCAACATTTTCTAGATCTGCACCAGCCATCAGGATGCTTTTTTCCAAATTATGTTCATGTACAGATTGGAAATTATAGTTGGCTCCATGTATGAAGTAACCTCCCCCAGGTGATAAAGACCTTAAGTCCTGTTCTTCTCCTGACAGTGGTGTAGGGTTAACTAAAAGATTTAGTGGTTACTTTAGTTACTGAATACTCAAAATAATAATTATATTATTAGTATCAATATACATATATTTACCAATATGAATATTTTTGCAAAAGAAAATACTACTTAATCTAAAAATCTCAATGAATTGTTTTTCTCTCAAATGTCAGATATTATGTTCACCAACAAATAACATTTTAGAAGCTGAGCCAGAGAATGTTTAGAAAATGAATGGATTAATTGGTTATCAAAAGACAATTTTCAGACAGAGAACAGTAGAGATTGGAGCATGTACTTGTACCCTAACACCTAACTTTGTTTCCATCAAATTCTGGGACAAAAATGTGTGAAAACGACTTGTGTGTGCAGGTTTCTGGAGTATCCTGGTGCTCTCAGTATTAGTAGGATGCATCTGCTGCAGCTGCTCCTGGTCTCTCACATACTTTAACTTGTACCAGCCTGGCATAGTGTTCCCAGCACCGCTGGTACTGGTTCCCTTCAGGTAAACAGTACATCAGAGTAGCATCAAATACAATCACCCAGTCAGGTTGGTCCAGCACACGTTCAAGTTCACGAACAGACTGCAGGTGATGGCTTCAACATATTAAAAACATCTGCTATTGTCTGTGTTTTCTTCTAGAGATACATCTGCCCATAGCTTCCACATGGGTTATGGTGTTGCTGTCCTTAATGGCATCATGGCTATGCTGACTGTCATCTGGAGCCTCACCTAATACACACACTGACTTGCGGAGTAACCCTCAACTTAACCTAGACCTTACTTTATACTACCCTTAATTCAAGTATTTACAATTTAATGATTCACCATGCATTATGGGGACTAGAATCCAAGTTCACCACTATTACAAATGAAAAATGTTTGTAGTAAACTTCATTGTGCGTTCCAAGTTGTTCCCATAGACTGTGTATGAAACATGGATGAACTGACAAGTTGATGTCAGGTGTGACACCACACCCTGACCAATCAACACATAAAACCTTAGGGCCCCAGTTTTCTTGCACAACATTTTCACCCACCCACCACATTACAATACAAAACACACTTGTAAAACTACCAAATCCTATTGTAAATATATTTAATTAATGTTTATTAGGCCAACATTTACAGGTATCAAATAGTGCAAAAAAGTCTTCGGCCCATACGTCTTTGACCACTAAAAACCATAAAAGGATCAAATCCTATACAAAGATCAAATTCATAAACATAAAATATACTTAAACAGAAAATGTCTAATGCCAAAATCCAGCCCATTCAGAGACGGTGTGTTTAATGTTTAAATCCAACACGCCTTCCTTTGGTTTCTGCTCTCAATCCCCAACCTTTGAAGAAATGGCAACTGTTTCAATAACAATGCATCTCATAGAACTAATATTGTGTTCTAGGTTGTTAGAAATTACTGTCGCTGGATATCTTTGATCTGCACATCTGTGCACTTCTTCGAAATGTATTTGTTAGTAGTGCAAGCACAGATTGTTGAACACGCAGAAAACATACTGTAATTGTGAGATTTGAGCATTTTCTAACACTGACATTTACAAATGCATGCTGTGTTTAAGGACAGGGAAAACTCAAATATTATACATTTGTAAATTCCTGAATATGGCTACTTTTAGTTCAAAGCATTGCAAATGCAACCTCAGTGTTGCTACATATTCCTACCAGTTTAATTAAAAGAGAGAGAGAAAACAATGGATACTAAATCTCATTTTTCTAAACAAAAATTTATTTAAATATTCCAAAATAACACAAGGAACAATAAAATACACATACATAACACAAAAAAGTTTATTTATGATCATTACTGCAGAGGCAGCAACTTGAATATTTCAAGTGCCATAATTTTTTGGGGTGGGGACACAGTCTGTTTTGGTAGGTAACAAAAACTACACACAGAGACTTACATATGAAAAAATGTGCGAAAACCTTAATGGAAAGCGAGAGCAAACACATTCACACATCCTGACAAGTACAAACCAAGCATTTTATGAGGTGACCCCTTCTCTGCTATCCTGTTGACCACCACCGCCAACATCACACAAAATACACATATGAATACACAGAAATAGTGCTTTGCAAAGTTTGATGGGAAAAAGCAGAGAGGTACCGTTTCACACAGCCAGAGCCAAATGCTTCAAATGTATACAAGGAAAATTTTACAAATAAACACTCACTTGAAAAAACTGAATTTGTTGTACGTATATTTTCAGCTTTGAGTTGTTTAATAACATTCGGTTTGGAAATGATTTCTGTACCAGCAGTATAATCTGATTCCAATTTTGTTCTGTGTGCATGGATCCCCAACCTTAAAATGAGTTTACATTTGCTCAAGTGCTCATTTATTGATATGAAAATATTTGCAAACAGGATTTTACTCACAACTGACAAACATTATCATTGTGCAATTTTCTTTCAGTGAAAGGGTTTCACTTCCAAACAGCAGTGCACGCAATTCATCTTGTGATTGTACTACAAAACAAATGAGGTATTACTTGTATAGGAGTGACTACTGCTAATCCAACACAGTTATGAGTATTTTGTATCAACATGTTAATGATGTAAAGACGAAGCTTAAAGCCACAGAAAAAGCAGGGAGGTCACAAAGCTTTATGGGGTCTGTTCATTAAATTTGTTGCCAACAACAATCCTTTAACTGTCTGAAAAAGTTTTAAAAATGAAACAGGACAGCAGTTCCAGGTATTTTGAGTGTTTAAGGCACTTTCTCCCAACACATTTAGCTGCAACAAACATCTTGTACAGAAATCAGCAGCCTGACAATATCACACATGAGGTGCAGGTGAACATGTAACATTTCAAGTTTCAGCAGTATTTCGTGTTCATTACAGTAGAGTGGGGATACCCAAACCAAGCCTGACAGGACCCATTGGTACCTGAGGGTTTGAGCTGGGTGAACTTTAGGATAGACAGCTGAAGCATGCAAAAGGTCTGCTTCGTTTAATAAGGGAAAAACACACCATATAAACTCAACTGTGTCAGGCTTGGGTTGGGTTTGGACACTACATACTCCAAGTGTGTTGGGTCTAGATCAGGTTCAGGTGCCGCGCTCAGTCGGGTTCGACAGAAATATGCAGCCCGATCCATGCCCTACATTAAAAATACAGACAGTACATAACCCTGATACTGATGCAGCTTACTAGCAGGGATGGGTTCTGATAGCTGGTTCCAAGTTTGTAAAAATACCCGAATTCATTAAGCTTCACGGCCAAACGAATCCCTTATTGATCCTTTCATTTATGTTCTATTTAGCTTACCATTTGCCCTCTCCAACGCAAAAAAAAGACTGATGTATACCAATTTGTGAGGGCTCAGCAATGCTGTTGTGTTATACATCAATAAATTTTGCAAAAAAAAGTTGTAAACAGAAGGATGAGTGCTGTTCCTCAACCTGCCACTGGTGTTAATGCAACCCAGACACCAACCAGTTCACCTTCAGGTACCATTAAGTCCATTGTGCGTGTCAGCAATTTCTTTAACTGATAATCACTGAATGAAAAAGAAAAATCTATATTATTTTCACCATGTTGTTTTTACTTGTGCAGCTGAAGAGCAAAAGAACTGAGGGCAGGGTTAATGAAAGTCAGAGAGTTGTAAGAAAATGGGTCGGTTCTATTCCTCTCAGGGTCATGGTAAATGGTCTAAAAATTGACTGTGTTGGCTGGAAAACAACTAGATTTGAGTTATATCTTATGTTACACCAAACTATTAGTTTTGCTGCTGCTGCTGAGTGAAGTTTTAAAGACAGATTTAGTAAGGGATTCTAAAGGATCCATATATTTAGGACCCAATCTCTACCAGTGCTTATCAGTGATAGTGCAATACACAATCTAATTATAGGAGGAAATAATAAATACAAACATCTTTTTGGCTGGCATCAAATGTAACAGCTATAATGTACCCAGTGCTTTTTACAACAAGCCTAAAGCATCCTCTTCAATACACTGGTAAAATGCATTTATCTATAACCTCCACAGTTTTCCACCAGCTGATGCCGCATGTTTTCTGCCACCTATTAGCCAAAATGAAGTAATAAAAGGGCAAAAGAGTGAACAGCCTGCATTCTACTTGGTCACATTTATGGATTACGGCCACTGTACAAAATGTATTTGGGTTCTGACCATTTTTAAAATCAGACCTGACTTTTACAAAGGTCAGATTTCTGAGTTAATTTTTTTTTCCATGGCCCCAATCATCTTCTGTTCTACTTGGACACAGTAAAGAAACTTTGTCTGAAGAGATTACTGAAGCTCACCTTCTGGACTCATTGTGCTCATCACCCTTTGGTGTTTCAGTATGTGACATGCTAAACAACATTATCATGTGCTATCTGCTGGAGCTCGCACCACTCACTGAAGGGGAGTCTGTTCGGCTGTTTGCCAGGACCTCCTGCATGGAACTCCTCATGGAGGCCAGTTTACAAAGCCCAGCAAGGAAGAAGATCACTGAAATGACTGCAAAATAGCCACCGTAGATGAGGAACTGAGGGAAGAGAGCAGGACAACTGTCACATCTAAATTTGGGAGGAAGATAAACAGCACAGGTGCCTCCTATAGGTTGTCTCTAATATGCAGCTGAGGATGGGTGGGGCTTGGTGTACATCCTCACCTGAGTGAAGACATCAAGGCCGAGGCCTGCTGAGTCCACCACCACCACAGTAAGCACAGACTGCAGCAAAAGAGCCACAAAAGTGTTCACTCCAAACACCAAGGCATATCGCGGCATAGTGAGACTGGCTGCAATCTGATATCTGCTGGGTCAGAGGGCACACCACAGGAAATCATGAGAAACATTCTGACCAATAGCGAACCACTTCAAAACCTTGGCGATGGATTGTGGATATCTCGGTTCCAACATTTGCTTAGTTGCTGCAAATGTAAGCCACAATTAAACAAGCTTCCCTTTTCTCTCTTCTCTTTACAGCTGCCTGAGGACAAAAAAAGTCTCTAAAATGCAATTTGCAAAACAAAAGAAATGCTGGCAAACAAAAGTGACTTTGGAAAAACCTCTGCTGAATTTACAAATATGCAAAATATGGCTTAAAAAGAAAACTGGAACTCTGTTAAAACAGCATGTTTCACACTGTATACACCCTTTCTCCACCATACTACTTTATTACTGTGTCAACAGTTCAGTCTCTAGTCCACCTGTCAAACTCAAGGCCCACATCCGGCCCGCGAGATCATTTTATACATTTTTTTTTATGGTCCGGCGATACGAAGCGCTGATAACACACAAACTACAAATCCCATAATGCAGCGCAACAGCTGCCTTACCGAACGATAGGCTACCTGCGTCAATTACGTCAGATCAATCAAGCGTCTGTTGATGTATACAACCCTAATTTCAAGTCAAAGCTAGCCCCTAACATTGGCCAAGAGAAAATTTGATTCTGAAAACAGAGCCTTTCAAAACCGGGGAGAGGCTGAGTATATGTTTACTGACATTGCCGGTAAACCCGTGTGTCTTATTTGTGGAGCTAATGTGGCTGTAATTAAGGAATATAACCTAAGACAGCACTACGGGACAAAACATCAGGACAAGCTGAAAAACGTGAATGCAGAGCAGAAGCTACAGAAGGTCGAGGAGTTGAAGAGGAATCTGACATCATAGATGTTTTCACCAAAGCGAAATCACATAGTGAAGCTGCTGTGAAAGCAAGTTTTATCGAGGCAGAGGAGATAGCCAAATCAGCCCGGCCATTTACTGAGGGAGAGTTTCTGAAGAGCTGCATGATGAAAGCGTGCGACGTCTTGTGTCCAGACAAAAAGCAGGTGTTTGCAAATGTAAGCCTTAGCAGAAATATGGTTGCTGATTTTAAGTTCAAGTTTATTTATTTTGGAATAATATTGTATCTTGTCTGTTTCGATTCATATTTATGTTCAAAAAACATTTAGTCTGTTCGGCCCGTGACCTAAAGTGTGCTTTGAGTTTTGGCCCCCTGTGCGATTGAGTTTGACACCCCTGCTCTAGTCAGTTAAATAAGTTCCCTGATTGTAAGACCAAGTTCACACAGACTTTGGGCAATCATGTCCATGCAAGTGTGCATTCCAGGTGGACCAAAGATAAAACTGTTGCCGCAGAAGCAACTTACGGCAGCATAGTATCACCTCACCCAATCATCTTGCCCTATACATAGTAGCATTTCACATATGCATATGATGGATCAGTTTTCTGTAAAAGATCACATATTACGGAAGTCCGATCCATTGTATCACAACGTCAGCATATGTGGACAGAAGGCAGACCATTTCTTATATTTCATATTCAGCATTTCTTTATTGGGCATCATGAAAAAAGAAGAAGTATGTTCCCTGGGATTAATCCATTATGAACAGTGAATTCGCAGTAGCAAACTCTTCATACTTACGTTGCCACAGTGATGAGCAGCATGTAAGTGGCTCTGAAGAGGATGTATGACATGTAACACAACCAGATGTCCTTCTGTGTGTCCATAATCAACACACACACAGCCATCAGCAGGGAGAGGACACACAGAGCCAGCTCACCCCACAGAGCCCAGCATACCGGCAGGTAGCCCACCAGAAGGGCTGCCAGTGCTCCTGTGGACCAGCAGAGCACAGAACAGTTTCACATTGGATATTTTACAGTTAATTCTAGCCATCAAAGCACTAAGCTGAGTCTGAAGGGGTGTCTACATCTAAATAAAAATATATTTTTTTAAATCTAATATAGTGGCAACCAACAGCAGACTTACCTAGCAGCGTGGATAGGGTCTCGACATAGCCATTGTAGATTTCATAGGCCTGGGATGGATGGACATTTTCCCAGAGCACTTGTGCATAGTTGATGATCTGGAAGTAGCCACAGGTGGCCAGTGCCCACCACAGCGACCACGCCAGCAGGGGGCGTTGTCTGTAGCACTGCACAAAGTCATTTAACAGCATCCGCAACACCTCCACAAGACCACTATGACTTCCTGCATCAAAGGACCTGGTTGTCTGCATGGACAACACAGCCAAGCGTAAGAGTGTGTGTGTTCTAGGGCTGCCCCCAAATACAGTCTCAATGAAAAGCCGACTGACAAAATCCTTAGTCAGGTACAGCCCTAGTATATTCATACATTTGCAATGATTCACATTTTAACAGATGGTTCTATCATAACCTTGGTTCCAACTGAACACAGCAGCTTGTCACTCACCTGTGAGACATCCTGGCTGCTCAGAGGCTCTTTGTTCTTTGAATTCTCCACCATCTTGAAGGATGTGCTATTATGCTGCCTCTCCTCCACTGCGCCAGGGCTCTTGTGGAAGAACAAGCTCCTCCTGGGCTTGGGTAGAAACCAGGGAGCAACAAAGGCCACGGTGGCTGAGACCAGAGTGATAATGACGAGGTGGCGCAGCTGAGCTTTGGCCACAGAGAGCATGAGCTGCCCAGTTAAAGATCCAGCAGCTGATCCAAACAGAGTGATACTACGGCAGTAGCCTGTCACTCTTTGGTATTGTTCTGGCTCCACCAAGCTGTAGATGTAGGAGTAGTAGGCCACCTCTGTGGCTGTGGCCAGCCCAAAGAAAAACTCCAGGAGCTGCATGGCCAGCACACCCTGTACCTTCAGCAGCATGAAATAGGTAACTACAAAGCTAGCAGCCTGCAGGATCAATACAGGCTTATAACGGAGGTAGTCAGTGGCCAGGAAGATGGGGAGCAGCAACACCAGGTAGGAATAAGTCCATATAGGATAGATCTCATTAACAACCTGCAGATTACGATTTACAGGTATTAGGTATCAAATTATCACTTAGAACAGTAGGACAATTAAAACATATCAAACAGTTGGTCTGTTAGCATCCAGACGTCACTACAGAAGGATTTTCTAACCCAGCTAATCTCTACATCCTGCATTTAGACCCTGCTTACATTCCACTGTCATTTTCTCCAAGAGGTAATGAGCATCACTGTCTGCATATATACAGATTTTGTAACAAGTGACCTGTGTTGTAAAGCCATTTACATACTGTATATACACAATGACCTGCATCAGTGCAATTTCCTTGTAGCTAGGATACAAAATACTTAATTTTAAAGTGAGCTTTTGTAGTTTCTCCAAGTAAGAACATGTCCTTGTTCTCATTTTGCATCTATTTGTGACTATTTTGCATCAATTTTTCTGTATGTTCTGCATATATAGTGAATTGACAAAAAAATCTTTGATCTTATTTTATTCATTTTTCTCATATCTATTTGATGCTGATTAACTTTACAAAAGAAATATTAACAGTCAGACCAAGGCTCGGGTTTAGGGGCCCTGATCCCTGGACCCCTGAGCCTGTGTCAGGTATGCCCATTCTGTAATCCATCCATGCATGTCAAACTGTATAAAAAGCTTTTTTTTCAAAGAATAAAGAAGTTGTGACTTTGTTTCTTTGTGAATCTGAACCATTTTCTGCATTTCCTGAAATGACTTACACTATGGTCTTGTTTAGAAAGGCAAAAATATTTTTGAACCAGCCATACAAACTTGATGGATACCGTCCAGTAATTTGTCTTAATATGGTCTAATGGCAGTTACATCATTCAGGGCATAAAAAGGCTCTTTTTCAAAGATTGTATTATTTGATGGAGGTAATTATTTTCAAATTAACTAGAAATCTCAAAGGTTTGACCTGTTAAGGGATTATTCTTTCAAAACTATGTTTGGACCTGTTGGAACTAACCTCACAAAACAAAAGGGACTGAGCCACTGAAACAAATTCTTATGTTATGAAGCAATCCTCAACATCTCAGTGTTTTCTACCTGCTGGCAGCTATGACAACAGAAATATTGAGCTTACTAATAACTGGGCTATGACATTTGTTCAATTATAAATTTCAATTGCCATAACATATGAAGTGTGCTTGTGAGCCTCAGCACCACCCACTGCATGTAAACCTGTGAGAACAGGCTTGCTCTTCATGGTAAATGGGTGTTAATATGCTCCAGCTCTGATACAAGCAGTGGCGGTAAAACAAGGGGAAAAACAGTGCAAACATCACTGCTTTAGTCTGTGTCCTTCAAAAACACGTGAGTGCAGGGGAAGGACATGTTGAGGCCATTCCACACGGTTCAGGCAGAGTTTTAAAGGGTGAACTATTAAAGTGTAAGCTGTGTTTTAGTTGAGTCACTTAAGCAGGCAAATTCTCCCGAACTGTTGCGTAAACGGTCACGAGCTAACTCTTTTCACGTAGCACACCCTCTAGGACCCTAATCACTTGGTTATGTGAAACAAAATTCGACACAACACCCGACTCTCATAACCGCCCAGAGTGATGTGCGTTCAAAGCATACAACTTTACTTAGTGGTACAATAACATTATTCTTTTAACCAGGAGAGAAAATATTTGACAATGTATCGAATAAATAAGAAACACAAACTGGGTAGCTATCATTCTGCCTTTGAAAAAAGGGGACAACGACGTAACTTATAATTACAAAATAATTACGTTACGGGACACAAGGTCTCGTATAGGTCGGTGTTAACCACGCAGCAGCAGACTAACTTACCTGGGTCTCTGTCAGATTCTTGTCTGGTCCCATCAGGTAGGCAGTGAGGAAAGGCTCCGACGGCCGGAGGTTGGAAAAGAAGCCGTAGGCACATAGCAGAATAATAGAGCACAGAACAGACATGTCCCAATTGCACGCTTCAGCCTCCGCATACAATGTGCACTGACTGCGTCCTGGTGATGACATCATGACGATAAATACGGTTCAATAACCAGCCTTTAGGCGCGCTACCGCCACCTGGTGTGAATGTGGAACAGCAGGTTTAGGATAATAATAATCACCTTTATTTGACCAAGTATGTGACAATTATCCGGCCGATTATCCTATTATCCTAAATACACAAATATCCTCTATTTACAATATTTGGGAAACTCTTTATTGATAAATGTGCATTGCTTTAAAGTGTTACAACTGAGCAAGTTATATCAGGAGACTGGACCAACAGGCAGTACAGAGTGAATGTTATCCAACCAAAAGATACACAAAGTATAGTGAGAAATACTGTAGCAGATTTTTTATTACGTACTATCAGAAAATGTAATAAGCCAAATATAGTTCATAATCCACAGTCTTAGAAACAAAAGGAATTACTGAGTTAAACTGATAAGCTTATAGCAATAAAAGAATTCTCTAATTTTTTTGTGATCATGCCAGACAACTGAGGTCACAGCCAACCTTCACTTAGTTCTTACACTAAGTATTGATACATCACACTTGTAGAAGCAAGACTGGAAAAAGGTAAAGTTTCAAAGAACTTGCAGAGAGCAAACTCCAACGGTGAGATAAACACAAGCAGATAAGCCAACCACAAGAAACACAGTTGAATGAAAGGGCTGGGCCATAAACACATTCAGAAAATGAAGTTTTAAGACAAACTGGCATAACTAGCTGATTTACAATGACAACGTTCAGCCAAGATGCCTGCAAAGTGCATTATAATGGAAGCAATAATTGCAGAAAAGCATGGGAGCAATGTTGTTGATAGTCAAGAAGCTTCTATTAATGCTGCACTGTTTTCAGTGTGTGCACTGAACACTAAAAACAGGCCTGTTTTCCAGAAGCCTTATAATTCCTAACCCAAGAAGCTCACACTTTGTACAACTGGGATTTTAATTTATTTACTGAAACGGACTTTTACATTTGAAGCAATGTTGGAATAAGGTGGGTTTTAATAAACAGCATCACATTATTAACAGCTTTGTGAGTTCACCACACTGGTCACAACACTAAACCTGAAGAGAAACATCTGAGCTATAGTCCAACTTTTGGTATAGAACCTTGTCTGCACTCTTATCCAGATGAGAAATAGGATATCAGATTCACTGCTTTGTGTCTAGTACAGAGATTTATCCATGTGGCTAGCCCAGCTTAGCACAAAGACTGGAAGCAACTACTAGCTAGCTTTGTCAAAAGTACAAAAAGAAAAATTTAACTCAAAATGTTGCCACCCAGCAAGCTACTTACAAATGTATCCAAATGTGGTTTTTTTACACTTCTGTTTTTCTACAGGTAAAATAAAAAGATATAACATTAAAATAGGACTGCTCTGATTTGATGAAAGGTTCAGTTGTTCATGCCACAGCTAGATTAGTAGCAGTTAGACATATTTCTGTACTACACCCACACATATGAAACCAATATTGGTCTTGGGTTTCATGGAAAACAAGCCTGTTTCCTACCGTTTCTTTGGCAGACAGTTTTGTCACATATATTGAACATTCTCCATGTCCTGCACCTACAAAGTGTCTCAGTGTAACACTCTCCACAAACCGGCTGGAATCAACACAGATGAGATAAAATCTCCAAGGCCAAGGAAGCTACATGGTGAAGTGTCTTGTGTAGTCATATTCTATAGTGGGAATGACAGCCTGGACAAACTTGAGGAAAATCAGAAGATACCTGAAATCTTAGTTAAGGAGAAAACAGAGAGACATGGAGAAAATTACAACACAGTAATATGGCAGATGAGACAATATGTTGTTGGTCAAAGCTTATTGGCCACTGATTTATAATCCATCCATGCCCATGTGACAGGTTAACCACAGAAAGGATACATATGTACTCCAAGCTCTCCTCCCCCTTCTGCCACAGTCTCAATGATCTTTTTCATCACTTCAGCATGTCTGCAAGTAACCAAAGGCTCCTATCAAAGTGTCTGTGACAAAGGCTAAACATGTTTACCACAGTCATAATATCAAATGTTCCTCAACTAATACTTTTACACATCACTACACAGAAAATACACATTCATTCATATATTTCTGTATGTCTGAACCACTGATTGTACTGTAGTATCGCAACATTGTAAAGATACATTTACATATGAGTAGGGCTGGGCAATATTTAAGTATTACCCTTTATAGAGTAAAGGCATGTAGTTTCTATCCTTGTGTGGTTTTGAAGAGACAGCTGACTGGTTTTCAACACAAAATTCTGAATTGGGAAGGACACGGGATTATTCATAGGGTGCAACTCATGTCTTTTATAAGATCGTTCCTACGTCCTCGGTCAAGCGGAATGACTTCCGGTTAAATTAAGAACACAGGGCATTCCAGGTCTCTTATATCAGCTCTGTGGACCGAGGACAGTGCTGTAAGAGCCATGACCAAGGATACATGAGACCATCTTTCACAAAGTTTTTGTGAACTGACACATCCCTTTATCAGAACTCAGTTTTTGATTGGATACTTTAAATGAGGGATCTGAGGAAAGGATGTCTCATATTGTTAATAACATGTTTCCTCCAGTCCTCTCTCCTCACGTTTTCCTTGCATTTTATGTGGATGGGACTAAGACAGAAAGAAAAGACACAAGTGATGGAAAAGATGGTCCTTTTAAGAGACATGTGACGTACTCATACTATGCCTGTCACCATAATGAGGCAACCAATAAATCATTGCACCAGCTCATGAGCAGAGCCAAGGGGGTGCCAACAGCCACCCTCAGAATCTGACTGGCCACCCCTGCCAGAGTCAAACTGTAATGTTTGTCAGTATTAATGAAAGAAAGATGAAGAAAAAAAAAATTAGACCAATTGTTGCCTAAACTACTGGGGATGGGCAATGATGTTTAAATATTTGAATAGTCATTAAATTAAGGGGGGAAAAAAAGAATATTTCATGTGACCATGGTTTCACCTTTAAAAACAAAGAGCCACTGTTTTCCCTTGCTTTTACCAGCGCCTGGAAATAACGCAGTAACGAAGTCAGTATATCATTTTATTACTGCACCAAACACGAACAGCAGAAGCATGCAGAGACTACAGCCATCAAAAAGTTCTGTGCCAAATGGTTTCATGAATATAAACGAAAATGAGGTGCAGTGCAAACTCGGCCAGGTGAAGTTAGCATATCATAAACTGATCCTCATTGTGCATAACAACTATGTACAGCCATTTGAAAGTGAGGCATCCAGCAGAAAGTGGGGTGCGGCCCGCAGATAAACAGTCAGTGGCTAGCCGTGTCACCTGAAGAAGGTTGATGATCGACGTGCAGAGCAAACAACAGCCCTCATCAAAGAGATAATACCAAAGGACATGTTACCCATTAGTTTCGTTGAGGAGGAGGGCTTTCTAAGTTTGATGACATTTGTTCAGCTGGAGTATACGGTCCCATCAAGAAGAATGGTCACAACATGACTGGCTAAACTGTAACATTATGATGATAATGCATGTGAGCTGCAAGGTTATTATTGAAAAGTTGTCTCTGACCCCAGATGCATGAACAGCGCTTACAACTGAATCGTATGCCAGAGTCACCTGCCATCATATAAGCAACCAGAAAATAGAGAATACTGCTCTTCAGACTAAAGCAATGCTGGAGCGACAAACTGCTGAAAACCTGGCGAATGTGCTGTCTACTGCTGCAGAACACTGGGGACTCGCAGGTAAAGTCACAGGACACAAACATGACAACCCTAGCAACATGGTGCTTTATGAATAATTCCCTGTGAATATCAAATGGTATTTTGGCTTCAAATGCCCATTCCTATTAAATACAACTAACATTTTTCTGGTCAAGTATAAATGATGTGCCTAACTAGCCTTATTTTATATCATGTATGACATTTGCATTAATTTCTTCGTTGGCAGTACTTGGTACGATTCGTGTGTGTGTGTGTGTGTGCGTGCGTGCGTGTGTGTGCATGTGTGTGCGTGTGTGTGCATGAGGGGACAAGTGCCCAAAGTTAGCTAAAGAAAGCAGTGTGCATCTCATTTTTAAACAAAACAGTTTGACTCTTAATACTGTATAGTTTATTTCATAGAACTAGGGGTTTCATTTTTATTTTTTACATGTATTTTAAATATGCCACCCCTCTCTGAGTGTTCTAGACCGGTCAGCGATAGAAACTAGTAATTCTATATAATGGCAGTTCTCACCTGCAGGGGTGGACAGAGCACATGGCAGGTGGGGGAAGGTGGGGATGGTTCTCAATGGTGACTGTTTTCTTCACATGGTCCTGGCTGATGTCCTCGTACATCTGATCTACAGTTAGTGGCTGCCTGTTCTGGGAGATACCATAAGAATTTAATGAGCTGACGGGTTTTTAGTGCTGTGTCTATGCATTTGGTTATTTACGACTCTTTCTAGTTGTCAAATATCACTTACTGCAGCTTTGGACAAAAGAATATCCCCATCAAAATTCTGCATCTGTCCTAGGAATCACAACTACTTAACAGCCACAGAGAAACAGACTTGTATAATTGTATAAAATACATGAATCTCTCAATGTAATTTAAATATGTTCTCATTAACAAATGCCTCCCCTCTCTTACACTTCCATGCTTCTACTATTTCATGCCTTTTTAGAATAAAAAGTGGCATCTTGAGAAGTTTAGCCCAGGTACATACTTCATCATATCCAAACAGCCAGAGTCGAGGGGTCTGGTAGTATTTATCGTATGTGATGTACAGGTCATATGTTCTCGTCTGAAGAATGGCATCTTCACTCCCAGGCTCTACTTTGGGTTTAGTTTCTACCATTTTACTGGTGTCCAGAGTCGCCTAGAAACAGGAAAGAAGTGCCAAGTGCTAGTTGGACTGATGATAGCTGTTACACAACAGATAACATACACTTTGCGCGGTCTACCTCATCTGTTTCCAACAGGCCACTTTCCTCGTATTCTGAAAAGACAGCATTACGGACAAGGTGAATTACACTAAAGGCCATTTCGAAGAAACTAAATGGCTGCTTCATTGCTGCTGAGGTATGCATATAATATGAATACCTTCCATATCTGCAGCTTGTCCATCTTCATCATCATCTTCATCATCATCACCATCACCATCACAAGATGTGGCATTCATATTCTTGTCCTACAGGAATTCAAGGTTCAAAATCAAAAATCAAATCAATTTTAAATCAATTTTATTTGTATAGCACCAAATCACAGCAAAAGTCATCTCAGGACACTTTACAAAGTAAGGTCTAGACCTTACTGTTGTCACTATTATTACACAGGGAAAACCCAACAAATCCCCCTTGAGCAAGCACTTGGCGACAGTGGGGAGGAAAAACTCCCTTTAATGGAAGAAACCTCCGACAGGTTCAAGGTGTTTATTATCATATGCACAGTAAGGAAATGTGTTTCCCTGCACAATGAAATTCTTACTTTGCTGTCCACACGGAATGCCAAAAAACAACACAAGTGAAATATAAAGTAAATAAATAGTAGCACAAAATCTAAAGGCACTTTTCACTCGCTGTTTAAAGAAACATAATAAAAATATAATAAGAATACAATAAGAGATAATGTATGCTATTCAGGTTCTACATTTTGTGAAACAAAATGCTCAGTCTGTGATTTAGTTAATTTAATAAATGGACATTTATTTTTGGACATTTAATAAATGTCCAAAGACTTTCGAAACTGCAATATGTGAAGAAACCGCTGTCTGATGAAAAAGCTTAGCTGAATCCCTGCTAAAGGTGTATGAAGGAGCACAGGAAGAAATCTGAATATTTAGAAGTGTGGGGAGAAGGTCATGGGTACAAAACTTTAAGTAGGGAGTGAAAGAAAAATGCTAGGTAAGAGGCTAAATCAACTCTGTGGGTGTTTGGATGAATGGGAAATAGTATAAAGTGCTTTGAGTGCGCTACATAAGTATAAGGCCATTTATGATCCATGGGAGTGCACAGGCTGTTACTGTAAAGACAAATCTATGGAAGTAGATCCCCACCATAATATTTGAGGACACACTAACCATTTTAAGCACTGCTCAATTAGCAACTCAGCCTTTGAGAGTGTGCAGAGACATAATTGTAAGTGCAAAATCAAATTTGAGAGCGTAATTCCAGCCATGTTTGTGCTCTTTTCTAAGTCTACGGTCTCGGATTTCTCCACTGTGATTTGTGCAAAAGTTTGGCAGTGGCAAAAGTTCTGAAAGTGCACAAAGCAGGTTTTGAGAGCTATTCGGTATTCAAGAGCACGCAGGCACAGACATACACAGCTACACATACACATACAGCTGCTTTTGTTGGGATCAAACCATTGTAACACACAAAATCACAACATAGGCTATATCCCCCATGGTAATAATGATCTTTAAAGAACGTGACCATTTGATTTGATTTGATTTGATTTATTCTTTCAAGCATGTAAAGACAGTTGATATGTCAACACACATAATTTTACACATATCCAACAAATGCTAATCCAATATCAATTTGCTTATACCTAGTACATGCTTGAATGGAGTAGGAAGAAATCAGACTTATCCAGTCCTACCCCATGACATCATCTTACATCATTGGTTTGCAAGCAGTATCTCTACATAAATAATTCTCTTCTACACCACACAAGTAATATACTAAAAAAATATAACAGCGTGTTAACATTCTTACATAATTACATTCTTAAATAATTCTCTTCTACACGACACAAGTAATATACTAAAAAATTATTACAAAGTAGTGTTGCACGATATACCGGTACTAGTATGGTACCGCGGTACTGAGGCATTTAAAATGGTACTATACTGCATTTGGATGGGACCGGTACTTGCAGCGCCGCCGGC